CATACATAAATGGTTCAGATTAAATAAGTTATTCTAATCTAAAGGGTCTTAATGTTGTTCACTTATACATGCTTTGAATTCACAGCTCTTGAGGTTGTAGGTTTTCTTTGGAAGTTCGCTGTATATGACTACAAACTCATGCTATTTGTTAGCTAAAAATAAGCTACCTTTATGTATGTTTGGAATGAACTTTGCTTTATGATAATTTATAGTGTTAATGTGGTGACATTGTTGTCATTGAAAAAATATCCACATTGAAAACTTTTTGAACAGGTTCAGTCTTAATATTTACTCATTTGTACGATTTTAGAGCTAATTTTGTGAAAAACACTTTGATGTTCTCTTTACTACAGTGCCACCCTCTTTGCTTTAAAGTTCTTGTGAAAAAAGGAAGTTTTTCATAATACTGTTGTTTTTCTGAGATTAATCTCAATTCTCCTAAATCTGGAAAGTCAAAGATTTTTTTTACTTTAAAACTAAGAACCTCCAGATTGATCTCAAAATTTGAGTTTGTTTTGAACAAATGTTTGACATTTTGACTTGATTTAAAAATGTGAGCAATCTCAAACTTTCTGAGTTAGTGGGAGAAAATTTTCTCTTTTCTTTTTTTTCTATTTACAATGGCCCTAATACACCATGGCAGTTCTCTGCTCTGAGATGACATTGATTGATTGATTGATTGATTGATTGATTGATTGATGAAGGTGTTCTGTTTTGCAGGTTTTCGCTGAGGAGGTTTCTCCAGAAGTTGCGGGACTCGTCGCTCGCTCTGCTGGATCTGGGACTCGAGCCGCTGGGCTACGACCTTCAGCAGTGACAAACCTCCACACATCCACATTGTTTGAATTATTATTCTCTTGTTGTTGTTCTAAATGTTTGTTTTTGCAAAAATAAAAACTTTTTTTCTCATAGTGGAGCTGTGAATATATGCTTTTGGTTCCTCTTGAATAGAATCCTTGTTTTTGTTTCTCCAAAGACATAAAAAAATGAGCAAATAAATTTTCTCACTTTGTGAAACTTTGGTCCACAAACTATGTGCAGCTAACAACTGTGTAAAACATGTGATTGCAGCTAATTTAGTAACTGATTAACTGTTACCATGGCTCAGAAAAGGCAATTTGCTGAAGGAACAAGTCAGAGCAGTAATTAAGCGAAAATCGTAGAAAAAATACACATTTTGCATTTAGTAGAAACACCGACCGGTATATATGTTCCACCCAGAACTTAAGTGGCAGTTTTATCCTTACCTGGTCCAAATTCTGTTCAGAAAAATAATAAAATGTTATATTGTTGCATTTTAGTCAATAAAATGTTTATTTTCTTATTTAAAACAGGAATTGAATTATGAACTTGCATGTTTAGAGTAAAAGGCTAAAGTGGTTAAATGAAAATGAGCAGAATGTGACTTTTTCTTTTAGAATAATAGATTATTGAAGTAACCATTTGCAGGGATTCTGGAGAACCTGACAACACAGAGGAGGCGATTCAGCCATTTGATTCAGGTGTGTTTCACTAGAGACCTTCAACAGCTGAAGGGCCTCACAGAAACCCCAACCCTCAATAACAATAGAGAATGGATTCACCAGAAGAAAATCAAACTTCTTGAATCTGATTGGTCATTTTAGTGGAGCTGAAGAGATGTGTTGAATCCAGTAGCTGCGTTTCCATTACAGATGTGCACAAATCTTTATCTATATTCTGCTCATGTAAAAAAAAAAAAAACAGAATTTTTGTTTATGGAAACAACTGCAATGTTTCCATAAAAAATTAAATGAAATTAAAATCACACTTAAGTCATTAAAAATGACGGTGGAGACGGAGGAAAGAGTTATGTGAGATTTATTCATGCAGCATTTTGATAAAATTATAGTCGGCCATTGTGCAGAAGGGTTATGGATTCAACATGTTGGACTGATGTACAACTGAACTGTGTGATGCTGTGAGAGCAACTTCAATGTCCCAAAAAACAAAAACAAGCTATCATCTTCCTACCACTTCCTGTCGTCTTCTTCATCGTTTCTGCCAGTAGTAACATCTGGTTGTTGATCAAATGACTGGAGTGACGCAGTTTTGGGAATCACATCTCATCCTAGTGCAAAAAAACTAAACAAAAAACTTAAAAAATAAAATAAATAAACTCAGCTGATGTCATAGTTTTTATTTTTCTCCCTTTTTTATTTTTGTCTTTAGCTAACGCCAAACTGCAGGAATAAGCATCCACCGTGTGAAACATTTCATCAGACAGCAGTGAAACAAGGAGCAGGTAGAGAAATGACTGATCGGCTGACGGAGATTCATTGCAGCCGTCACTTTAATGATTTACTGCGCTGCGGAAAACCCACTGCTCTCTGATTACATCCTGTACATCAATGTCTACCAACACGATTGTTTTTATATGAAACAAATTGTACAAGAAGCCCTCTCTGTTTAAGACCTAGATGTGGGGAAGAAGAATCTATCAAGCATGTGTTTTGGTCATGTCATTTTGCAAAAAAGGTTTAGCTATTAATGACACCATGGTTGAACAATCTAAGTGAGGAAACAATAACATATGAAACAATGTGGGATTTTGAAAGAAAAGCAGGAAAGAAATGAATTACTTTGGTGGCAGTTAATTAATTGTATCAAAGAGGTAATTTGGAAAGCAAGAAACATCTGGGTTTTCAGGAAATATGAAATAACAGAGAAAGAGGTAATAAAGATTGTGGGCTTCCAGATAAAAGACTAAACCATAAAGGAGAGACAAAAGGGAAAAAGAAGAGGAAATATTAATATGGAAAATTCCAGCAGAATTATTAAAGATAATTAAAGGATTGATGAGATAGGGAGGAAAAAAAAGGGGAAAAGTTTCATTGGATGGTTTTTTGACTTGTTTTTTTTCTTTTCTTGTGTTGTTTGTGATTTTATTTTAAGGGACTGTCTTCTTTTCACTGATTCCTTGTTTTTGTTCTTGTTGTGACTTGTATTATGTGCAAAGAACAAATAAAATCTATTGAAAATTTAATTGATCGCCCAGGGTGAGGATCAGCCATTGCACTGCAGCGATCTGACCTCTGTGATGGTAGTGGGGGACTGCGTCCGCGCTCTCCCCTGGGATGAATGTTACATGATAATACATGAGCTAATATCAGATAGTTTCTGCAACATATTGATTATTGGTTACTTGTTGCAGATTTAATTAGTTCTAAATATATTTAGGTTAATTTGAGGAATAAAACAAATTTTAAACACTAAAATTGCATGAAAATGCTTCAGCATTCTCGCAATGCATTGTGGGAGCCCTCATCATGAAACACAACGCAGAGCCCGCAGGGTGTCTTCCATCAGCCGCAGGTTTAGGGACGGAGAGCCCGGGTTACAACACAATAATAAATACACTGCAGTAAGAATACATGTCCACCAAGAAACTCATAACTTTGAGACTCATCTCAATAAATGACTTGGACATTTCTGATCTCCAATGGATGATTATTTGCAAGGGACAAAATAATACATTATAAGTTTGAAATGTTTAAAATTTGCTGGAAAAACTCAGAAATTATCAGATTCATCTCCGAAATTTCCAAGCAAAAACCAAACGAGGAAAAACTGAAAATTCACAATTTTTCTAGAAAATCCAGAGACTTCTGAGATTAATCTCTGAGTGGAAATTTACTTCTATCTTATTCTTTCTGTCTTCATGCCGTCGTAAATATCTGACAATCAGAGAAAGAATCGAGCTCCTCTGTCTCTCCCAGTGCTCCCAGTACAAACTGCAGAAACTCTCCAGTCAGTGGGAAGCATCCAGGCAGGGGCGGGGCTTAGCGCTGTCAATCACTCTGGTGAATAGCTGCGATAAAACAAAGTGTATCTGTTTGTCATTCATTCAGTTGGTTTATTTATTGTCATTAATGTCATTCCTTGCTCTGACCAGCAGGTGGCAGCAGCAGAGCGGCCAGGAACCCCGTTATTGATGCAAGATAAAGATTTCCTTTGATTTCCTTTATATTTTAGATATTTCAGTAGAAATTAGTTAGTTGTTGCAGATGTAATCAGTTCTAAATATATTTAGGTTAATTTGAGGAATAAAACAAATTTTAAACACTAAAATTGCATGAAAATGCTTCAGCATTCTCGCAATGCATTGTGGGAGCTATAAACCATCTATATGTTGGTTTATTTTGATTTCTCTTCTATATTTCTTATTATTCCTCTTCGTGTCAGATTGTGTTTAAACATTAAACCCTAAAGTGACTGAGGGAATATTTGAATCTCCCACCGTGAGTCAGAACCGGAAGTGTGACGTAGTTAATGGTCAGTCAGAGGAATGAAGGACATACTTACCTGGCAGGGGTGACTCCATGATCCTGTAGGTGGATCGCCCAGGGTGAGGATCAGCCATTGCACTGCGGCGATCTGACCTCTGTGAATTCTCCACATGGAGAATCTCAACTGCACAATTTATGGTAGTGGGGGACTGCGTCCGCGCTCTCCCCTGGGATCAATGTTACATGATAAACTAAGAGTCTTAAAACTTAAATGTAAATGAACATTTTCCGGTACGACTGAGATATTCTTTGTGTTTCAGCTTTTAAGGACTTTGATTTTTACTGCAGTACTGAAATTTTAACTTATGTAATTAAGTTAATAGATTAAGAAATTATTAATCATTTAACAATTAAAATGTTTGAAGTTAAGCAGAAATGTTATGAATTACATATTTTGAAGAACAAAATTACAGTAATCTATATAACAATTAAAAAGTTACATTAGTAATTGTAACGGAGTAAATGTAACTAATTACTACCCGAGTTTGCAAACAGCTTGGCAACTTGTTGCAGCAACCCAGGAGAGTTGCTGCTCAGCTCTGGATTAAATGTAAAGAGTTTTTTCCTCCATCTGATTTTCCTGCCTCACTGAATCTTCCTGGTTTTACTTTCAAATCTTCACCACATCATGTTTTTAAAACCTTCATTTTACATACTGCTCAAAAAAATAAAGGCAACACTCAAATAACACAGTTGATTTTATTTTTATTTATTTAATTTTTTTGAGCAGTGTATTATCAAAGATGTTTTAGCTTCAATCTCACTGAGGTTGAAGCTAAATATTCTGGAATATTTTTTCCAGAATATGATTTATTAACTGTCTTGGCCGATGTTTCTTGGAAGCCTGAGTTTCCCACTGAGCGCTCAGAGAATCCCGCTCTCTCTCAGCGTGGCGTTGACGGCCTGGATGAGCGCCTGGCTGTAGCTCAGCAGTCTGCCGTCATAAACCAGCTGGTCAAAGGTCAGATCTGTTCGCATCTGAGCTCTGAAGACAAACAGAGAGAAACTCCAGTCATGTGAAGCAGGTCTGGAAGAGTCCATTTTAACTCCTGAGCTCCAAAAGTTTTTCATTTTTTACTTTTGAAACTCAGAAAATTTCCAAACTTGAAAATTTTACACATAAAAAAAACGTGTTTAATTTTTGTTGAACAACCAAGTTTTGCTGTCGCTGTTTTGCGGCTCAGCGCAGAAAATCAAATCAGGATATTATTATGTACCTTCATGATGTTTTGGTTGGTTTCCCATTAATTACTGTTTTCATTTAATTTAATTTAAATTGTTTTCTCGGTTTCAGGTTTTGTTCTTTCGCTAATCTTGATAACTTTGGTTACAAAGTCAAATAGTTATTTCACTCAATGTTTTTCACTTCCAAACTTGTTTTTTTATGATGTTTTTGCGATAAAGCGATCAGCTGATTGGTTGTAGAACCCGGAAGTGTCGCTCACCTGGTGTGGTACATCCTGGCGATGTTCCGGTCCACCCAGGCGCAGCCGTCCAAGCCGTGGGACTGGAGGACGCCGTGAACAGAGACGGAGGCGACGAGTCGGGGATTGACGATGATCTTGAACTTTTCGTAAACGTGTTCTTTGGAGACGGGCTCCTGGTGGAGGTGGGCCAGGACGTCCACGCCCGGGACGCCCCTCCACCGGGCCGGGTCGGTCCCGCTCCGCGGCAGCATCACGTTGTTGGGGAACACGTTGTTTTCAAACATGTAGCATTTGTTGCGGGTGTACTTACTTTCCAGCAGAGGCAGCAGCTCCGTCCAGCTGGAGGAAGGAAAGTGAAACAGTTTTTGATAACTTTTATGTTTCTGGATTAAAAATTGATATAACTGGCGTTTATTTTTGTTGCGTGAGTATCGTAAAGTTACAGAGTCAAAAATAATTTGCAACACTTTTAGTTTAACGTAAAGAAAAAAAATTGGGTTATTTTTTTATAGTCATATTTTCACCATTTATAAACAGGCCAGTTTAAAAATGAAATATTTAATGAGCAAGCTAAACTCTTAGCTTGAAAGCTAACCTTTTAGCTTAGAAGCTAAACTTTAAGTCTTAAAGCTAATGACTAACATTTTTAGTTATTTTCTAATGACTAAAATTGTTGCTAGCTAAATATTTGACTAAAATACAAAGTCATTTGGCGATAAGTGGAAATGGACTATCAAAATAAAAGCTTGGACTCTGAATAAACGTTCACTGCTGGATTCTGTCGTTTCCGTCGTCATGAAGCAATGTGAACGTTTTTCGTACGTTTTGACCGTCTGGGGCAGGATTAGTTCGTCCACGTCGTGCAAAGCCACGTATTTGGACCGGTACATGTTCCGGTAGAGGCAGTCGTTGAGCGCAGTGATCTGCCCGAAGTAGTGGAGGTCACCGGGGCCGTGGGAGGGCAGCCATCCGCGAGACACATTCAGGAAGCCGGACATGGACCAAGGAATCACCTCCAAGATACCTGAGGAGGAGCAGGAGGAGCTGAAGGCGACTCGCTGGCAGACATCTTTACTCACTGAGGTTGAAGCTAAACATTTTGTTTGCTACCTCATTATTTAGCCTGTTAACTAAACATTTAGTTTGAAGCTAATTTTGCAGCTTCAGATGAAGCCGGTTTAGATCAAAGGGGATTAAAGGAGTAGAAAAGCCTAGTCAAAGTCCAAATAAAACCAATTGATGAAAAACTTTGAAAATCTTTATCGCAGTGGCTGATATGTGCCGAGTCGGCTCAGTTTTATTGGTTCTGACCCACTTAAGAGATAAAAGTTTTTTGTGTGCTACACAAGCTGCTGTCACAACTCAATAAATGCAGAAGCTGCAGAGGCAGAAAAAGTGAAAATCTTCATTCAAATGAAGGTTTATTTTTGCCTCCAGCTGTTTCCTGTTTAAGAAAACGGTTTAAAAGGTGAAACATCGTCATCCTGGGCAGCTTCCTGTCCGACCAGGAAGACACAAAACAGGTAGCAAGGAAGTCAGACAAAAGGAAAGTGAGCTTTGACCTTTTAGTGTGAAATTTGGTTTGAACAAACAGGAAAAGCTCCGTAGTTCTGCTCTACTTTACCTTTTCTGGTGTAGTAGTTGAGAACGCGCTGGGTTTTAGCGCTGCAGCTGGTTTTATAGACAAACACTTTGCTCACACCCAGAAACCGCAACATTTCTAAACTCTGCACAAACTGCAAAACAGAGCAAATTAACATTCACACATGAGCCATATTTAAATTACCAACTGAAAGCCGCAGGATTTAACTTCTATAAAAAATATTTCTCTATATATTTGTTGAAACATTGATGTTAAAGTTTGAAACAGATCATTTGAATGAATTCAAGCTCCTCTGCCTCCTCCCAGTGCCAACTGGAAACAACCAATCAGAGCCAGGAGGCGGGTCTTAGCACTGTCAATCACCTCTCCATGTGGGCATGCTGTGAAATGCTATGCTAGTTAGCATGACCGCCAGTAACAGCGGATAAAAAGTATTCCTGTAACCGGAAGTAGTTTCTCCACCATTAGCACATTTAGCAACATGTTCATGAGGATGATTGACAGCGTTAAGACCCACCTCCTGGCTCTGATTGGCTGTTTTTGATGCATTTCTTCAGACAGCAACAAAAGGGAAGGGAAATTATTGTTCTCATATTGAACTGGAACAACATGGGGACAGAGTCAACAAATATGTAAATATATATATATATTTTTTACAAACTGCAGCTTTTTAGGATAAAATAAAAACCCTCTCCCCTGTGTTTTCCCTCACACCTCCTCCAGACTAGTGGCAGCAGCAGTTAACAAACACCTGGTGGACCTGAAAGTCTGCTGAATTCATCGTGCAAATTAAAGCACTCCAAAGAACGGCTGTAAACGGCACCATGGAGAAACATTGCTGAGATAGAACGTCTTAAAGAGACAGGAGCCATTTTCAGTGCGTCTTATTTAGACGGTCTGTATTGTTTAGTGATCTGTAAACGGTGAATCATGCAGGAGAACTGGACTTACCTGCAGCACATTGTTGAAATCAAACATGGTGGACAGACAGACGGTGAAGGTGTGATTAAAGGATTCCGTCTTTTTGTTTTTGTTCTTCACTTCCAAAAATTCAGACTGATGCTCCTCTGAGAAAAAACAACAGGGGTACATTTTTAGATCTCTTATTTTTAAACTCCCACGGTGCATGTTGTAGACCTGTGGAGCTCCTACAGTGACAAACTGCTGCATCCTTGATACACAAATGGGCGTAACCACAGATCCTTCCTCCCAGCAGCGGTTACAACCAGGATAAAAAATAAGTGTCTACATCACGGTTCGCACAAATATACATTTTGAACAATTAGATATTTGAATAATTTGTAGAGTCTGGCAGTAACTAGTTACATTTACTCAGTTACATTTACTTAAGTAACTTAAAACAACTACTTTTATGAGTACTTTTTACTCTGCTGTATATTTTTTTCAATCAATTCTTATTCGACTTACTAATAATTCAGTTGGCTTTTCACCAAATGTGTTTTTTATTTAGTGATTTCTTGGACTTTTTAAAATAAGATCATTTTCAGAAACAAGACAGTTCAAAGTGCTTTACATCAATTAGAAGGAAATACAAAACCAAAAGGGCAACACAATGTAAACTAATATGAGTTTCTCTAAATCTAAAGTTTGTTATTGATTGGTATGAATAAGAATAAGTTCTCTATCGTTCATAAACCCGCAGGAGTTTCTCTGTCTCCATGTTTGATGGAGTGAAAATGTGTTGAAACGTCGCTAATCTTACTCGAGAATGTTTTGGCTGCTTTTCCCGCCCGCGCGGCTGAAATCTGTCCTGTACCTTTAAATGCCGCGGAGACCACGGCGACGTGCAACGGCGCGTCACATGACGCAGGGACGAGACACAAGATGTCGGCGGCGCCGTAGCGGAAGCCGAAGTGGTCGCCGTGGATCTGCAGCTCTCCGTCGGAGACGAGGGTCTGGTTGTTGCGGCAGAGGAAGACGCAGAGGTACGACGGCGTTTCCTCACGCAGCACCACCGCGATGACCCGAACCTGGGAGAGTCAGGAAGGTTCGGTGCTTTTTATTTACTATTCAGCCTTTATCACTTTGGTTAGCATAAATGCTAGCAGACATGCTAACTGGTAGCTTCTGACTTTAGGCTTAAAATTTGACTATCAGATAATATATTATGACTTTATTACATTTTTAATCACAATCTACACTTTTGATAGTAAGAAAATATGTAATATTTTACTTTAATCACATTAAATTGATGTGATTCTTTGTTTTTCTGTGCAACTTGGTGGAAAAAAAAAATACAAATTTAAGATTAAAAATTTTTATGGGATTAAATTTTTTTTTATTTTTTGCATTATTTTTTTTTCTAATTTTCCCTCCAACTTTCTGAGTCCAGACAGGCCTCTCAGGCCTTCTGGTTCTGGTTCTGCTCTGCATCCAGAACCAGAACCAAACTTGGAGAAGCAGCATTCAGCTTCTATGCACCACAGATCTGGATCAGAGTTTCAGAAAACTGAAAAACAGCCAAAACAGAAGTTCCTGTAAATCAAGGCTGAACCCTCTGGCTACAGCCGCTTCTGAAACATCACAGAAGGAACATTGAAATGTTTCATTGTAATGAACATGACGCCATTTGTAAGGTGTTTTTACGACTTTATTTCTGTTTTTGTCATGCAAAACACTTAAACTGCCTTGTTGATAAAATGTGCCATGTAAATAAACTGGATTAATTGAGTCAAAATATTATAATTTGAAAATCTAAAAAAAGCCTTTCCTTTCCTTTGCACAAAGGATTGTGACTTGGCACAGTCCTTTCTGTGCCAAGTCACAATCCGGACTGGACAGTGATTTAAGGCGGACTGGACAGAATGTTCCTTAATGAAGGTATAATAAAAGCCGTTACTCGCCTGCTTTGGGTTTGTGCGGTGTTCTAGATAAGCTGAGACCAGCAGCGTCTTTGTCATGTTGACTGCAATAAATGAAGTTGCACGTTTTGTTGGAGCTGCACAAGAAAAAAAACACAATTATTCTGTAAACTATTGGCAAAAGGATGACAGAGGAGTGAGTAACTTACCTTTAAGTGTAACATTGTGTGTCCAGGGCCAGAGTTGTGTTACTGTGCTGCCCGGTAACAGTTTTGTTGTTGAGTTGGCTATCTGACTCGCCTTCGTTAAATATCTGTCCCCAAACGGCAAATCAAAAGGAAAATGAGTCTGAGTGAAGTCATGTTGAGCAGTAATAATTTCAACTTCCTTCACTCCGTCAGAAGGAAGCAGAGACTGGACCGGGGGTTGACTTGCCATGTTATTAATTAAATCTCTGGATAAGTGACACCAAAGTAGAGATGTTTGGTCAGAGACGTGACGCCACTCACCTTTCTGCAAACCTGAACATTATGGCGGCAAACAGGAGGACGACAATCGCCAGCTGTTTTCGTTTCCGCAGGCAAGGCTGCTGGAAACCCATAGCTGAGATATTCAGTCTGTTCTTCTTCAGCGCCTTCAGAGAACCAACAGAGGGAAAGAAAGTACCGAATTATCTGCCAGCTCAAGGTGCAACAGTGTAGCCCTTCCCCTGGGCAGAGCTGTGCTGATAAAACCCTCCATAAAGTCTGAGGAAGTGACTCCGAACTCATCATTTTAAATCAAGAATTTCTGCTTCTGCTTAACTACTGCAAAAATATGCATGAGTTTCGGTCTCAGCAGAGAAGATGTGCATGGCGATGCTGAAAGGAGGAGTGACTCAAAGAATCGACAGGAAACGAGATGAAAACGGTTTCAGTGACTCTCAGCGCCATCATACACTACAGTTTTCATTAATCATTAATTAATCAGCATTCATTGGTGTAAAACCACCTTGAGGAGCAACACAGGCTCCCACATGCTTGGACTGTACAGAATAATGAGAAACCAAGATATACTTCTTATCAATTGTATTTTTTTGTGGTTTGGGTAACCTTAATATTACTGAAACCCATTTTTAGTTTAAAACCTTATCTGGCCCCAATGGGACTGGTTTTAATGGAGCAATTTTTATGCTTCCAGTTTATTTCAGAGGAACAGGTTCAGAATATAAGCTTAAGGGTTTTGCATTTTGATAAGACCGTGCTGCGGCGTCAGAAACGAGGAGGAACCAGCCATGTGTTTCATCAGGGAGCAGATTAATGTTGACTGCAAACACACAGATAAACGCAGCTGCACCCATCGCTGCACCCATCGCTGCACCTATAGCTGCACCCATCGCTGCACCCATCGCTGCACCCATCGCTGCAGCCATCGCTGCAGCCATCGCTGCACCTATTGCTGCACCCATCGCTGCACCCATCGCTGCACCCATCGCTGCACCCATTGCTGCACCCATCGCTGAACCCATCGCTGCAGCGATCGCTGCACCCATCGCTGCACAGGCACTGAAACCTGTTGAAACCAAAACAAGTCCATTAAATGATGTTTCAGTTAGGAGAAACTAGGACGAAATCAGCAGAGAACAATGGAAAACAAGGACTTAAATACTGAAAAGTGGAGGAGAGTGAGTCTAATCAGACAGATGCAAAACAGCGCAGGGAGTTTGGAAACAAAGAGGATGAATTAAATAAAAACCAAACGGAAAAAAGCCCAACGCTGAACTCAGAGTACAGGTCAACATTCACAGACTTAAACCAAGAAAAACCTCAATGCAGACGATGGAACCAGCAAAACCCAAACACGAAAACATGAACCATGAAAACATGAACCATGAAAACATGAAACATGAACCATGAAAACATGAACCATGAAAACATGAACCATAAAAACATGAACCATGAAAACATGAACCATGAAAACATGAACCATGAAAACATGAAACATGAACCATGAAAACATGAACCATAAAAACATGAACCATGAAAACATGAAACATGAACCATGAAAACATGAAAACATGAAACATGAACCATGAAAACATGAAACATGAACCATGAAAACATGAAACATGAAAACATGAAACATGAACCATAAAAACATGAACCATGAAAACATGAAACATGAACCATGAAAACATGAAAACATGAAAACATGAAACATGAACCATGAAAACATGAAACATGAAAACATGAAACATGAACCATAAAAACATGAACCATGAAAACATGAAACATGAACCATGAAAACATGAAACATGAACCATGAAAACATGAAACCTGAACCATGAAAACATGAAACATGAACCATGAAAACATGAAACATGAAACATGAAACATGAACCATGAAAACATGAAACATGAACCATGAAAACATGAAACATGAAAACATGAAACATGAACCATGAGCTGCTTTTCTATTGACCATTTAACTAGGATTATAAAAATAAATCTTCATGTTTACAGCTGCATCAAAATGACTCAAAACTAAAATGGAAATATGTTTATTTTTATATGAAATGAGCCATTGGTCAACAAGACGTTACTGCTGGTGGGAAAGAGGAAGACGATGACAGGAAGTGGTGGGAAATGAGGTTTAGTCATTTAAAGCTGTGAACCTTTAAGTGTTGTTTCATTTTTTAGTTGTTTTTTCTGTGTTTATTTATTTATGGTCGCTGCCCTTTTGAATGGGCTTTTTATTGTTGTATTGCAGCTTCCAAGATGAATTTCTCCTATGGGAGACTAATAAATTATTTTATCTTAAAACATTTGAGCTGCATTTAGTTGTGTCTACTATCTCCCTCTCTTTAATTCAAGTAAATGTCAGATTTTGAATTTAAATGTGAGTTTGTTAAAAATGAACTTTCCACAGTACGTTGTTAATTTCTCATTCATTTTGTCAAACCTCCAAGAGTTTTTAGGTGAGCACTTAAAAAAACTGAAAGAAGAAAAAGACAGGAGTGGGAACTATTTCCCAGAATGCTTAGCGGTGTGTTTGTTACATTGATCTGACTCTTGTTTCAATAGAAACTTTTTATTTTAATGAAATTGGATAATGTTCTGTACGTAAATTTCCAACACAGTTGTGTTGGAAATTTTGCATTTCCAACACAACTGTGAACATTTGTATGGTCTACAAAACTTTGCTCACATTGACTGGAGTTCCAGGAAACCATGCAGGAAGTGAATGAAGACAACAAGCTGGCGTCCTCACGTTGGAGCTCAGCATTTCGTCTTCATTGTTCTGAGGTGTTTGGATGATCCCATGTCTGACCCCAGCGATCAGCTGCTCGCTCTGCCGCGCAGCCCCTCATGGAGTCCCGTGTTTCTCCAGCAGCAAAACCTTTACAAATACAAGGAAACAGCTTGAGATCTTGAAACAAGGAGGCACTGAGATCATGGTGAGAAAAAAACATCTGCAGAAAGAAAACAGAGGTTTAGACTGATGCATCAAAGTTTGACACCTAAACTAAACTCTGACACGTTCATGTGTTTTTTATTGATTGTCTTTTCTGTCTCCAACCTCAACAACTAAAGGTTGCTCAGCTTCAGTTGAGCAACCAGCTGCAAATATTGTGACCAGATGAGAATCAGTATGTTGACATTATGAATGTTTTTGTGCTCTCATTTGTTGTTGTTTTATTTTTTCTTTCGTTATTGGATTATTGTGACCTGCTCACAATAGTAACCTGTCTAATTGAACACACTATAAAGGGTGTGTCCTCCAAACAAAGAGAGAACAACACGAAAGCCAAAACGGTGCGAGTTTCTCGTTGAACGCTGTGCCGAAGAATAACAGATAACAGAAACGCAGTTTCTGTTCACACACAGAAACTGTTTATTTCCTTTGATTTGATTTTTCTGGAAATCTTAAAAGAAGCTCTTGAGACCAAAAACTCACGACTGGATTGTCAGTAATAATTCAAAAACGATCAGGAAATTAAACACAAAATGAACCCAATGAGCTGAACCAGCAGAGTAACCGAGGCCCGGAGCTCAGGATGAGCCCGGATTTCCTCTTAAGAAAAGAGGAAATGATGCAGAAACACAAATTCCTGCCTGCAAGCTGCTTTTTCTCTAGGGACACATAGATGCAGGATGTGATGAACAAGAGCTTCGGGTTTTATTGTGTTGTTTATTTGTCCAAATCATCCTGATTGGATGATTCCAGATCATTAAATTATGCACATCATTAACACAGAGTTATATTTAATAACTACAATTTAACTTTTCTTATGATGCACTTTATTTTAGGTTTGTGTAAATTTGCATGCTTCAATCTGCCTGATAACACGGCTCTAATCTATTCTGTTCTAGTCTATCTTTTGTGGTTTTTTATGACATAGAGCATGCACATGTTTCTATTTGCACCAAGATCTTACACCACTGAAAGCTAAAAACCACTCGCTGCGCTGTCTGTTGGAAGTTTTGACACATAACAAGATTTCCTGTAAACGGAGCAAAAATAACTCTTAGAGAAACTAGTATAAGCCAGTAAGCTTTCAATAAGAGCTCAAATCTTCCTACTTTCAATCAAAATGACCACAGGAAATCTAATACGACTGTAGGTGTGAGGTAGGCTATAACTTGTGGGTCTCAGATAAATAAGATCAGAATATCCGAAGGTTATGTCCATAAAAATAGGTTTGTCTTTTCTGCAAAGCTTCCTCAGTTCCCATCACTGCAGAGCTAAAGATGTCATCCATTTCCACGTCATCTGAAGCTCTTGTGATGTCAAGCATCATTTATTACAACATTACTTAGGATACTTTATGGAAATAAATAAGCTTGTTTACTCTTTCTCTGCAAACTTAATGTTGGATTTGCAGGAAGTTATATTTCTGCTCCGTCTGGCAGTGAGAATTGATCTTGATGTGCTTGATATCCTGCTCAAATGAACCAACCAGAACAAAAAACAGGAAGCTGAAAGTGAAACGGAAGCAGGAATAAGACAAGAAGGACAAACCCTGCAGAGGACGCAGGTAAAGGATCAATAATTGCTCTGGAATCATTAACGTTCTGAAATAACTGGAGCACAAAGTCAAAAACTGAGACAAACTTTCTGGGAAGAGAGTGTTAAGAATTAAAAAGATGAAGAACTTGATTTAGCTCTTCAATTAATTCTTAGTCCCGAATTCCTGTGTCTGTGTAAGTGTGCAGAGAGAAAAGAGCAATCATACGACGTCAGACTTCAGATATTTAGAGTTTTATCCAGAGAAATTCAATCCAAGAAGAACTTTACAATAAGCATCTCACCTAGAGCAAAAGTCCAAGATATTACAAAACAGAGACAAAGAACTGAGTAAAAAAAACAAAAGTATAACAGAAGATGCATCCTCCGGGAAACTCTCACTCAGCACAAAGAGATTCGAACTTCTGCTGTAAACCAAATCATTTTATAGAATGCGTAATCTCATCATTTAAATATATGCATTAGGAGGTGTGTTCTTTTCCTTTGTGTGGGCTGTCTTGATGTTAATTTTATTACCTCCTGCTCAAGAGCCCCAAAGGCAGATATATGGCCCGGCTCTTTTCGTACCTGCCGCTGTCCAGTTTGATATAGAGTGCAGCTGCAGCGCTATCTCTTCCCCAAGCTGTTTTTCACAAAAAAGTCGTTTGTATTTTAACCAAGCTTGCACACAATGTAATGCTAAATAATGACTATAAGTTTGGATCTAATAAGTAACTATTTAAAAACATGCTTAAAGAAATATAGTTAATTCTAATATAGATAAAATTATCTATAAAAAGTTTTAAGATCCTAGTGAACTTTTGAACCATGCTCAGGAATTTGTTAATTGCCTGGCAGACAGGCTCCTTATCTCAAGAGATTCAAGGAGTCTAGGCCTATGTTTTCTGTTTCTTCTGTCTGATCCTCCTTTTAAGAATTTATCTGCGTTTCAGAGATTGAGCCGTGTTTTTAGTTTCATCTAAATTTATATGAACCTAGAGTGTACTTTAACTTTCTATGTTATATTTTATATGTGTCAAAGCTATCCTGTGCAGTATTGTGCTAACTTAAAATTCTATGACAACAAGAGCTCTGAGGAAACCCAAAGCGTCATAATCTGTTGCTGAAAAGTTACTTTTGTCTCATTTAAAGTGGAGCAAGATTTACACTGAGAACTGGACCAAAAATGATGAATAATTTTGTGTTTTTGCACAACATGAATGTAGAATTAAATATTGAAAGTCAAGCTGTAGATCAGCTTCAGTATTTTTGTATTTTCAGCAAACGGATTAAAAACCTTTTTAAATGAAGCTGGACATGGAAACGGTTTCAAACAGGAAATGAACTACCAACCTAAGTTTCTGACGCTCATATTTTATTACATTTTAAAGGATGTTACGAAAGAATCATAGAGTTAGTATCTGGAAGAAGAAATGTGGAGTAAAAAATGGACAGGACAGAAAAACAGCCTTTCCTGTCAGTGCATGATGAAGTTAAATTACATATTTCACTTCCAAACTGACACTGGAGCAGCGACTGGCATGAATACATAAATTATGTATTTAGCCAGAGCTGCCCAGGAAACTTAACGTTTGCTACTTTAACGATCTTAGCTGCAAAAAGGATCCAGTAAATGGATCGGCTGCGCTGCACGGGAAAGACGGCACTTTATGTTCTCATGCTGTGAAACCAGTAGACATGTTTTACCGTTGAGGAATAAAAACAGTCAGTTATCCAGCCAAATACAAGATGCAGCAGCACAAACCCAAACTGACCTGTTAAAATTAGTCAACAAGCTGCTCCAGATCCATCTTGCAGGCTGCAAAACGATCCAAACCGCAGGATTTTAAGGCACAAAGCTCCGAGAGAGCAGCTCCTCCGGCTTCATGGAAGTCGTTGTGTAAAACAACAGGAAGCAGATAAGAGGAGAAACCTCACCCTCAATCAGGAAAATGAACAATGACAAAGGAGACACTGCTGAAATACTTTGGAAGTCAGAAAATACAACATTAACTGAAGATGTTTGACCTCTGACCTGCCCTCACTGACTAGCATCTAAGAGTCGTTTTTGTGTCAGTTAAAATGGAAAGTGACAGAACAAATTGCTTCATCAGCAGTGGTTCACACTGTGCTGCTCTTCACCTTTTGAAGAGATTAATTAAAAATATTTATAATTTTTATCCAAAATCTCACTGTCATCATCTCAACCGAGAAATAGCCAACAGATGATTGGTTATTTCTTGGTTGAAATGTTTTACCTTATTGGTTATTGTGTTTCAAACGACACTCATATTTAAAACAGGAATGTTGGTGTTTTAAGACTCAAAATGGCTGCTGAAAAAACTATTTTAACCAGAACTGAGTGCTTTAGTCAGATGAGACTAAAATGTTGTGTTTTCTCAGTGGCAAACATTTCAGATGAACTTTGGGTGAATATTCGGAAAAGCACGATGCATACGTCTAAGCCTGGCGGAGGATTTTGATTCTGGCATTTCCTGTAAATATCTAAATAAAATATAAATATTAAACCACGAGATCCTAATGGTCTCATGATATATTTTTCCTAGATTTACTAAACAATGTTAACTAATTTTCACAACAAAAACAGCCTTCAGCATCACTTTGTTGCTTAAGGCTGACTTTATTTTGTCAGTCTTTATTTAGACTGTATTTTGTCTGTATTTATTTAGTCGGTCTTTATGTAGTCAGTCTTTATTTTGTCGGTCTTTATTAAGTCTGTATTTATGTAGTCAGTCTTTATTTTGTCGGTCTTCCCGCAGCTCTCATTAATGGAGCAGGCGTCACATCTGGGTGTGTCTAGTTGAGTTGATGTTGCTGGTTGTGGATGCTCCGCTATCTCTCCCATTTCCGGTCGGAAAATAAACACATCTTAAACTGCCCGCCTTAGTGAAGGAAGGTCTTTAATTTTTCGGTCTGTGAGCCGCAGCTCGTCTCGACATGGGGAACTGTCTGACTGTGGGGCCCAATGAGGCGCTCGTGGTCTCCGGTAGGTTTCCTGCCTCTTGTTATGCTAACGCAGCATGCTAACGCAGCATGCTAGCTGCCGCGGCAAAAACAACAAATAACGGTTTTTATGGAGCTCCTGGGTTTCTGCGTCGAACTGGGAAAGAGAGAAACGTTTCTTTCGCTGCTTATGGAGCATTTTGTCTGCTTGTTAATCCTCCGTTAAGCTTTAATTGCCGCTATGTTAGCCTTTGCTACCAGAATGCTAACGCGAGCTCTCCATGGTAGCTCACCGTTAATGAGTCACGTGACTAAACAAGCCCTGCGACCCATTTGGACCCGGTACATAAAATCATCTGAGAACATTCGGATTCACAATAACAGCCAATAAATCTGATCACTGTTGGAATATTTATTGATTTATTTCGCTGAGGCTAACATTTACATTTCAGTAAATTATGATGATTTTCTGCTTACGAACAAAAATAATAAATAAAATGGAAAAATAATTTCAACGCGACTTTTACTATTACATAAGAAAAGTGGGTTTAATAATTTCTTCAAGGTTAGTTTCAAAATCTACTTTTAACCTGAACAGAACGTATTCTGATTTATTCAGTCTGACTGCAAACATTTACAGTTTTATCATTTTAAAATGTTATTACATATTTTTACAAAATATGTAATAATTTCTTCTTTATAGATGAAGAAGAAACAGATTTTTTTAGAAGGAGATAAACAATCAAACTGAACCAAGTATAGGTTTTTAGTATAAAATGAAATCATAGAAGCAATAAATGATAATAATAAAATTCACCCTGAATTTTAAGCTTGTATTTGGGTGATGGTTGCATGACAAATGTGCAAAGGTCTGAAAATCAGACACTCCATCGTGAGAGAGGAATCATCTCCCTTTTGCCAACTTGTCGAGTTTTAAGACAAAAATATCGGCATAAACCGATAACTGCAACTAGTGCGTCCTTAATAGAAGCTTGTGTTTGCTTTCATAAAAGTCACGTTTCATTCCCGGATCTTTACCAGTGAAAAATTGAGACGATAATGTGCTGGTTTTTGTTTCTCCGCCGTCTCATCGTGTCTAAATGTTTTCCATGCAGGCGGCTGCTGCGGGTCCGATACGAAGAGCTACATCGTCGGCGGCTGGGCGTGGGCTTGGTGGCTCGTCACTAACTCTCAAAGGTAAAAGTGTTTGTGAAGCAGCAAAGGTCCGGTTCTGTTGCAGTGATCTTCATCAGAATGACTGAGTCCTTTATTCCATTATCCAGAGCCTCGAAACAGGAAGTAGAAACACATAAACCATCTAAAATTTCTCCATATGTGTGTCAAATGTAAACCAGTTGGCACCCTGCTAAAGTTAAAGTCTCTCTGCATGTGGTGATATTTTAGTCAGGACTATAAGAATGAAAACCCGACTCTCTTCAGCTCCAGAAAATGTTGCTGGATGATAAATCGTCCCAGAAGTTTCTGCAATAAACGATAATATTGATGTTTGAAACAATTTTCAAGTAATAAAATTCAAGAAGACATTCTTAAAGATTAGCAAACCTTAAATCTTAATTAGCATTTAACACTGGAACTGGAAGAGATTTTAAATATTTAAAATAAGTAAACGAAACAACAGAAACAGCAAATAAAATTAATTATAAAGTTTCCGTAAACAAAATTATCCTTAAAAAGGCCAGTTGAGACCAAAGCACCAAACTGAAAACTTTAATCATCCAGAGTTTAGTAGAGAAAAATTATGAATTATGGAAATGGAAATTATTGTAGTAGTTTTAATTTATCATGCAAATCATTAATTGGACCTTGAACAGCAAGTCTTAACTTTAGTCAAATGGTAAAGAATCAACAAATGTTTTTTTTAATGGATTAACATAATAAGCAATGCAGGTTTTATCAATTTCTCATACGGAATAATTGCACCAAAATTCCATCAAATTTTCAAATCAATGACTGAATCAGTCAGTCAGGTGTTTTTATATTTCAGTTCAAAAAGCTTTACATAATAAAAACACAACAATGGAGAAAACCAGGAATAAACATCACATTTCAAACACAACATGCTTTGATTCTCCTTCATTTTTATATTTTTCTAACTCTGGAGGTTTTTCTGCACATTATGTTTGATTCTACTGGTTTCTACCCAAACCAGCAGAAACTCAGGCAGGTTCTTCAAATGTTTGCACATTTAATTGCACGAAGCAGGAAAAGAAAAGTTTGCAGGTTTCTGTTCCTGACCGGAATCATTTTCTTCCATTTGGGTGAATCGGTGCAGCAGGTAGAAACTTTTTCTGAAGGTCGCTGACGAGGTGAGAGTTTCTGTCGTCTGTTCAGGTTGAGTCTGGAGATCATGACTCTGCAGCCGCGGTGCGAAGACGTGGAGACGGCAGAGGGCGTGGCCATCACTGTGACGGGCGTCGCCCAGGTAACCTGGACTCACCTGTTAGCATCACCCACCGCTGGACGTGGACATGTTTCATTCATTTATTTCATTGTTCTTAAAGATGTAATCTCTGAATTTATGAAGAGTAAAGACTTTTTCTATGTGGATTTTATTTATTTAGATTCTTTGGTTAAACTCAATTTGTTTCACTGTAAAAACACAAAATCTTACCAAGTATTTTTGTCTCGTTTCCAATGCAAATCGTTCAGACATTTGAAATCAGACAAAACTCACTTACATGTAAGTGTTCAGCCATATAGAGGAGTTTGTTTAATGTGAAAGAGATAAATAATTGTTGTGAGAGAAATAATTTCAACTCATAAAATGGGAAAATGTCTTATTTTACAGATAATTTACTTATAAATACAAATTCTTCATTTTATTAAATGATTATTGACTTAGCATAAGCTCCTCTATCTTCCTGAAAAGTTACATTTTTGGTCTTATTTAAAGTATTTGCACTTAAAACTAGAAAAAATACTTGACAAGATTTTGGGATTAAAATTACACTGCAAAAAATCAAAATCTTACCAAGTATTTGTTTGTCAGGTTTCTAGTGTAAATGTCTTAGGAAACTTGAAAAATAGCAAAAGTCCCGTAAAGTGACTTTTCAGGAAGTATTGGAGCAAAGTCAGTAGTTCCTTAAAACTGAGGAAAATGTTCTGTTTTAATTAGCAGATCAAATAATCTGCCAGTGGAAATAAAACTTTTTATCAATATTAAGGAATTATTTGAGTTAAATTCAGTTTCTTGCTAGAACTTTATTTGTAAGTTATTTTTTTCTTATTTTAAATTTCCTCTTGAATCTTGACAAAAATACTTGGTGAGATTTTGCAGTGTAGATTAGATTTATTAAAAATGTATTATTTGATTTTGTTTCTATTTTTATTAGCATTATTTCAATAATCGATTTGAACTGCCTTGTTGCTGAAATAAGACGACAGATAAACTTGATCGATTCATTATTAATCTGATTAATTGTTTCAGCCTTAACCTCAACTTTAAAAAAAGTTTCTAATATGTTTTTCTGGGTGATCACTGAATTCTTCAGCCGGTGATAAACGTCAGAGCTTTGTGTGTTTTTGCTTTGTTTGGTTTGATCATGCAGCAGGTTCAGTCAGTGCATGACTTCCTGGTTCTCCTGCAGGTGAAGGTCATGACGGACCACGACCTGCTGGCGGTGGCCTGTGAGCAGTTTCTGGGCAAATCCATCAGAGACATCAAGGCTGTGCTGCTGCAGACGCTGGAGGGACACCTGCGCTCCATTTTAGGTCCGATCACTGCGGATAAATGTTGTTCACCCATAACGTCGTGTGATGGGTGAACCCCTGGCCCCATGTAGACCAGGGGTGTCCAAAGTGTGACCCGGGGGCCATTTGTGGCCGTTAAGGTCATTTTGTGTGGCTCCTCCACTGCAATGATTTGTCCAGTTAATTACAGGTGAAAGTTGATCAAAAATACTTGGTTTCACAAGTAACAAAATATTGCCAGGAATGTTTGTCTGCTTTCTATTGCGAATATCTTTGTACACGTAGAAAA